AAAAAAAAAACGACGCACGTCTATGGTTTAATTGCGTGTTTTTTATTATATGTGGTTTTTTTTAAGGGGAAAAAAATACAAACAGGGGCGTCTAGCGCCGCGCTCCATGGAGGCACGAGGGGCACAGCAGCGCCGCGCACCCCAGGCACAGGGGCGCGGCGCAACGGCCGCAGGCGGCGCGCGTCTTGACGTCCTTGGCGCGCGGGCAGACACTGCACCGCTTCCTTGTAGTGAGGGCGAGGCAAAGAGGAGGAGGAGGCGGCGGCGGCTCGTCGGCGGCGACCGTCGCGGCCAGGTCACGCGTCAGCTCCAGCCCCAGCTGCTCCAGGAAACGCCGGCGGCGATCGCGTTTGCCCCGCAGCCAGTCGGGGTGCAGCTCGCGCTACACCACGAACGCGTTGTACGCCGACACGTCGATCACGTTGTGGAAGAGCACCACGGGCCACCGCGCGGTCTTCCGTCGCACGCTGTAGGCCGCCGTCACCTTGTCCAGGTTGTCCACGCCGCCCTTAGTCGCGTTGTAGCGCAGGAGCGCGGGTGGTTTGCCGTCGGGCCGCTGCGTGTCCTCTTCGTCGTCCGGCAGCCTCAGCAGCGAGGGCTCGGACGTCAGCAGCAGCACGTTCATGCCCCACTTGGGCACGTACGAGACGGCGCACGCGTCGCGCGTGAAGGCGAACCGGCACGACCGCGGCTCCCGTGCCGACTCCAGCAGCGCGCGGGGTAGTCCGCGAGCGCGATTGGCGCGCAGCGTGCCCAGCAGGTGGAGCCCGCGCTCGGCGGCCAGCCTCGTCGCCAGGCGCGGCGAGGTGAAGAAGTTGTCCATGGTTACGAGGGTGCCCGCGGGAACGCCCTCGGTCAGGTCTAGCACCACGCGCAGCGTCAGGTCCCGCTCGGGCGGCGCCGTCTTGTCGCGCTTGCCCACGTACGCCTGCATGCGCCACGCGTAGCTTGAGCGCGAGTCGCACGCCACCCACAGCTTGAGCCCGTAGCGAGCCGGCTTGCAGGGCATGTACTGTCGGAAGCCGCAACGTCCTGCACGAAAAAGAAAAAAAAAGAGGGGGGGGGTTAAAAAAAGGCACACCAAGAACGAAAACACGCGCACATCGTGCGACATCCAAAGCCTCGCGCGCCAGGTGGTTCGAGCGCGTGCGCGCTACGTCTCCAACCACGACTCACCCCTGAACGGAACAAGCCGCTCGTCCACTGTCACGCTGTCGCCGGGGCGATACGCCAGCGGCAGCCGCTCAGTCCACGCGCGCCACAGCTCCCCGATGGGCGTCAGGCGGTCACCCGCGGCACGTCTCGCGTCCCTCGTCTCGCGGTCGTCGAAGCGCAACGCGGCCGAGTACACCCGGAACTGACCGAGGGGCATGGTCTCGCGGAACACCCTGCGCCCCGTTTCGGCGCACCACAGGCTCTCGCAGGCCTCGCCGCGCGACCGGAACACGCCCGCGAGCACCAGCAGCCCCACGTACGCGCGAAACTCTGCGCGGCCCATACGACGCCACCGCGGACGATGCTCCGCGGCCGCGTTGGTCGCCGCCACCACCGTCTCATTCATGGCCCGCGTGAAGAAGAGCGCGAAGGCGGCCACGGGGCTCTCTCCGCCGCCTTCGCGCGTCGCCAACGACGTGGGACCGCCGCTCGGTTCGGGCGAGGGACGCGGGGGGACGACGTTCGTCCATCTCGGCGGCGCGGCCCGCCACCCGTCCGGCGCTTCTTCTTCTTCTTCTTCCTCCTCTTCTTCTTCTTCCTCTTCTTCTTCTTCCTCCTCTTCTTCATCTGCTTGTTCTTCGTCTGCTTCGACGGCGTCATCGCCCGAAGACGCCTCCTCTTCGTCCGACGCGTCTTGGGACAATGCGGCGACGCAGCGGCGAGCCCCGGCTCAGCACGCACACGAGCGGGCCCGCCTCGCGCGCGTTCCAGTGCCAGCGCGACGCGCGGTCGGTTGCCATTCCGCCGCTTCCGGACTCGCGGCGTTTGAACGACGCGTAAATGATTAGCCATCGGGGCCCCGCGGGGACTCTCCCGCACAAAGACGGACAGCGTCGCTGTCGCTCTTCGCGTCGGGGTCCACCCGACCCCTAAGAACGCACAAGGGTTATAAAAAACTCATATTCGGGGCTCTCACCGCGGGTTAGATTCCCGGTCAGGGAAAAAACTTTTTTTTTTAGTTTCACACAAAAACACAGCAGTGGACTGATGGAAAAAAGACTGGGTTCTGCTGGTCTAACCTGAACTTGTTGGAGATTTAGAGGTCATTTGAAAGCACATGCATCCCTTCAAATACATCATATTTAGATACAAAGTGACAGAAAATGCATTAAGTACAATTATTTAAACAAAATGTAAATTCATTAGAGAATGTTTTATTCATTTACAGTTGAATAAAGTTAATATTTTTTCTCCCCATCAAAATCCTGTTTACAGTCCATTTAAAATAGCACGTCCTCATATGCTGTGTCAAACATGGAGGTTGAAATTGAACACTTCACCCTAAATTTGTTCATGACAGAAAATCATCAGTTGATTTATACATTAATAATTTACAGTTTAAATAATCTGACGTGATGGACTTCTTCCTAAACCAAACACATCAAAGTATTTTCAGTTTTGAAAGCTCTTCATGTGACCTGGGATTTCATTTTTTCCCAGCTAGCAAGCGAATGTTCGTCTGAAAGTCGAACGTCGAATGTTCGGACCTGACGTTCACCAAATGTTGTCTGAACGTTGAGTCTGAACGTTCACGCCCTATGATTTTTCTTTTTTTGCTGTCATTTCACTTAATTTAGTTTTTATAGCTTTAAAACGTATGGCTGTTATTTTTTTTTTTTCAAATTTCTATTTTTTTCTTGCTACTTCTAAATGTTGTCTGAACATCTTCCGAACGTTTTTATAAATATTGTTTTACAAAAACTCCCAGTGCATTTTTAAGGTTTTTTTTTTCCAGCATAATTGCAGTTGATCAAATGTAAACGGCTCTTGAAGGTTTGAATGTAAAATATGCAACTATTTCAATTTCAGTTTTAAAGCAAAATTATTTATTTACTGCTTCCCGTTCTATTTCGTATAAGCTTCGCCCTTTAAGGCTGTCGCTTGGTGGGTTTATCCCGTTATGCGGAGCATTTGCACTGAAAAATTTAGTCCACACCCTCCTGCTGTGTGGGCCCTACCTGGTCCATATAAATTACGTTAAGAGCGGGAAATTGGCTCCCATTTTTTCTTCAGCGAGCTAATAGCACTGTCAGAAGAACAAAGAAGGAAAATTGTGTAGATGACCAACCTTTGTTAAGGATACTTGGCCCGGCAGTTGACCTCCGGTCGTCCAGTGAGTTCTCCCCCCCGAGGAGAAGCTGACGAGTAGTCTTATTTCAAGGTAAGCGCCGAGGAATATTTCTCAGTGACAGGTCACTACACGCTGGACAACGCAATCTTGTAATTTTCCTCTTATCGCCGACCCTCGGAGCGAATCGGATGGTTCCTCCGGGACAGGCGCGCTCAACTGCAGCCTCCGCTACTCATTCCCTCCTGGGGAGCGTAGTGTCGGTGGAGGGGGGCTGAGTGAATGCTCACCCCATCCCACCTCGTTTTGCATCGGCGATCACACCGCTCCCGGCCGACGGCGCCCTCAGGGGTTTCCCGGCGTAACCCAGGAGGCGGCTGACATGATGGGACCCCTTTTTTCTACGTCCCACGCTTTTCCCGCCAGTTCAGATGATCCGGCGGGAAGGCTGTTTACTGGGTTCCATTCCGGCTCACCGTCTTGATCCATATGGCCTCGTGTTCCAACAGGACATCCTGCGGGCGAGGCCACAGACGGTTCTTTCCTGGTAGATTGGGGGAGCCGGTCTCCAGTCCGCACCCATCACCAGAGTGGAGGGGTTCACCGAGCGGGGCTATCCCTCGGTAACTCCCCTTGAGCCAAGCCTCGCAGAAGCTTTCGGAGCGAAGCTGTCCAGGTTGGAGCAGCGTCCCGTCCCTCCTGGGAAACACGACCAGACGGTGACCACGCTCTCCAATAGAGCCCATCAATGTGCTTTTCAGGCAGCTGCAGCTAACAACAACATGGCGCTGCTAGCATATAGCATGTTCAAGGGGCTGGAGGCCGCAGACCTGCCTTAGGAGACCAAGAGCTCCCTCTGTAAGGCAGTCGACGCAATCCTCAATATATGTGCCTCTTCTACGGTTTGCCTGTCCAGGATTGCAGCGTGGATGACGATGATTCAACATCCACCTAGCTCTGTCACTTCCCCTCGCTGCCGGAGAAACTGCACAAAGACCTGATGGAGGGCCCCATC